GGGGCCAGATTAGCATGCAGCGGTGCTGTGTGGCTCATCTCTGCGGTGGTGGCACGCTTTTGTCCCTGGTGGTAATCCGCTGGCTCTCCACTCGCCCTGGTATACGGTTTCAAAACAAGGCTGGATTATCACCACTTTTGAGAGTGAAAAATGTCGGTAATGCCCAGCAGCCTGGTCTTTTGTTTGCAGTACGTTTTTTTTGCTACAGGGCCCTGTTTCCTTTGTCCGAGTTTGGAGACCCCGGCCATGCATATAAACCATATGTCTCAGATTCCGAAGTCTCCGGCAGGAAGTGGTTAATACTGTGCATGTCATGGCAAGTACCATTTTGCTACGTTTAGGCTACCTAAGGTAAACATGTCCAGTACAAAACTACTGAAATTCCCCACAAAAATGTCCTCTATCCAGTCAATCCAATATTAAGTAGCTTCCATATATGCTGCAGGGGTGAGATTGACCAATGATAATAGCTGAAAACAGCTGAAAATGGCATCAAGAAGCTTCATGGTGAAAATCTCCTATACCTCTGTGCACAGCCAGAGGAAAAAAGGTGAAACCCAAAACAACAAAAGCTGAAATCAGCTAAAAAGCTGAGAAATCTCACCCGTGTCGTTACATGTTCACTTTATGTCATTTTCCGTGTGAAGAATTTACACATGAATTAGGCTTCTGGCACTGCCCCTGATGGCTCTGATTGCTGTTTGTATCATCAGCTATTTATAAGTATTACTCAATAAGTGAAATAAAATGCATCATGCTATGGATCACCAAAAGCCTTTGATGAGCTGTATTTTGCAATGAAAGCAATATGTGAATCCCTTTTGTTTCTTCTTGTCAATCTCCTTTTGATTGTAAAAATTTATAACACATTTGTTCATGTATATAAAAACAGGACAACTAAAGCAAATCCAAATGTCATCACATACACATAAAGTATTAATTGAGTGATCTGTTTAGTAATGTGGGTAGGGTATAACACCAGTCATCACAGTATCACATGCATCATCCCTGCCATTGTTATCTGTATTTTCAAAATTCACCGAATGCAGAAAACAAACCAGCAACACCTTCGGAATTTATTTTTAGGGCAATTCTAAGTGAACAAATCACCTCTGGAGGATGCTCCAGTTTATCCATAATGCAGAAGGTGCAAACTTCCCCATTTTGCATAATGATGCGTGTCTGCCCGTGTTAGTTGTACTCTGCTTGCATAACATGGAGTTTGTGAACAAGAGATGTTCTCGTGTTCCCAGAATGAATAAGTATTGTATTTCATTGGACAGCCAGGGGCTGACAATTAAAAAAGAGGGAGTGATTGCATGGTTCGTAGGTAAGTCCTGAATTATACTTAACAGCTGTTTCAAGCCCATGTTTATATTTTGAAATATATGAGGAAGTTATCAGCACTGGCCTCCATAGATTGGCATAATATGAATAAATGCGGATGCGTTCGTCCATGAACTGGTTGGCCCATTTACTCAAACATTCAGAGAGTACCTGAATTTTTTTTTCAAAAGAACTGCTAAGGTGACCTTCAAAAGGCCAAAAGACTGTTGCTACAATGGAGGCATAAATGTGACGTTATTTTTATGTACTTTACAAATGCAAATGCAAGCAAAAAAATTCAAGAAAATAGGAGAAAATAATTATATGGAAATTAATGACAAGCTATAGGGATAGACAGGGGTATGATTTTAGTCATGATTCAAATCCAAAATGATTTTGAAATTGTTTCCAATTTACTCCCAAAACAACCAACTCAGATACCGATGCACTAGGTCATTCTTCCAGCTTCATCTGAAGCAGATAATTTGTTTTGAATTGTTAAAAAGGAGAGGGAAAAATGAGGGGAAAACAGCACTGACAAATTTACCATTGTTGCCACATACAGCATTTTTTACCGAGCAGAAAAAAAAAAGACAGCTAGGGAAGCAAAAACAAGTGTGTGCAGATGAATGACAGGTCTGTATAGAGTTAGAATTACTACACCTCGTAAATATTCATGAGCAAATCAGAGTATGTCATTGGCTGATTCCACCTCACATCTGGGAAGTAGAAATGATATGTGATCATGTGACGTCATAATGATGAGTATCTGCCTCATTGCCATGCGGTAGTTTTTCTGATAGCACCAGAAAACCCCTCTGGAACCCACCGCGTAAATATGTAGTCTGTGTCATGTAATCTTTCTGGAGTTGTATCCTAATAACTTTTACAGATAAGACCCAAAACATATGTCAGCAAAAGACAATTGAAGCCATGTTGCTGTGCACATCTGCACTCGAGCGTACACGGAAATTAGCAGTTGAGAAACAATGGCGTCTGTGGGTAAAAGTAGCCTTAGATTTCCGTCTACATCTGAATATGAACTTGAACTTATTGTGCACTTATGTATTGTGCTGAATGAAGATGCAAAATCTACAAGGGCAGTTATTGACAAGGCAGTGAGGTTCCTAGAAAAATACTGTTAAGACAAGAAGGTGGATTTTGAAGAGGCTTCTCAGTCGGAACCTGCAGAATTGAACATTTAATTGAATATTTATGAGGTGTAGTGAAACAAATACAGCATGGTTTATTTACAGTGGGAATTACACTTCGCATAGGAAGGTAGTCAAGCTGACTTACACCTTGGGACAGTAATTCCCACTACTTCCTGTCAAATCATGCTGTATTTGTATAATACTATATCACATGAATGAATGTGGCAACAACAGTGACTGCATTCAGACAGCAACAGGGTGCATGACAAGTACACCTGCCTGCTGAAGCTGTGTCTTGCTACCAATGCCTTGCTGCTCGTTCACATGAGGGATCAACTGTAGCTGCTGCTGTTGCTGCTGCTGCTGTCGGCTTTCATTACCAACTCGAAGCTGCATGTTGTTGAGAAAAATTTATGACTGTTACCTTGGCCACATATAAAGTTCCATTGCTTTGCCATCCAAAACCTTCCTATCTTAGTTACAGATCAAACACCATCCATTTATCTGGGTACTGTACAATACCCCTGATTACTGTAACACCCATTAACAAAGTGCAAAGGTAAAACAATTGCTTTCCATGAGCTGCTCTTGTGATATTTATATCAACAATCAAATTTGAGTCTCCCATGTGAAATGTACATGCTAAACAAATTTATTGTTCACCTATTCCCCTCTACACTTTACAATAAATGTAAACATACAGCTGTCCAATCATGATTTTACAAGTTAAGGAAATCACAAATATGGAGAGTGTAGGCATCTTTATACAATCCATAGAATCTGAAGTAAGGGTCGGAATTTAAGTTTTATTTGCTAAACATTTAGTTTAGCAACACTTCGATTTGCCCGATTTTGCTTCGATTTTTCCCGCAAGCTCTTGGACAAGCACTGAGCATACAGTGCTTATTAATAAATTTAACCATTTAAACGTTTGGCCAACACAAACAACAGAGGCGACCGCATGTTCACTCTGTTTCTGCTAAACAAGGACAATTTTAATGCAGTTATGTACCTCAACAACAATGCATACTTGTGGTTGTTGGAGTGTAAGCAATGTCCTTTTATTGACAACATAGGACTTTCAAGAAAAAAAGAAGTGAGAACGAATGGGAGATGGAATACACTGTATATTCATTTTGCCTGTTCAGCAGAATATTTTCTTTCTTCAAAAAAGATAAATGTTTTTTTGAAGAAGTTGTTTATAAATTTGGAAGCCTGGAAAATGTCTACACCAGGCTATTTGCCACAAATTATATACTCAGCAAGAAATGAGACCGAGGGGTACCCCCAACATGTCCAATCCCTATACACATTCCAGACTATTGTTACTTAAAGCATCCCCCAAGATGTCTGAAAGGAATTCCCCAGATTCCTGTGAGACAATGACCAACACAAAGCAGGGGGGTTCTCTCTGTCTCATACCTTGCTGCATATGACAAATTAATGTCAAGAAAAGGAGATGAAGGACCATTATCTAATTTATCCAAGGCTTTACAACCAAGTGGTAATCCACTCACTAGGGGGAAAAAAAGCCTGGCTGGGGTCCAGGCAGCATGCTGGAGAGGGCCCAGGATTTTCCATTGTAATACTGTTTCTGGGCAACTGTAACAATCCTACCAATGGCTGCTTCGCTTGCAAAGAATCAACTTACTAATTGGCTGATGATCAAAACATCTGCCCAGCAAGTCTTCCTAGTAATAGCTGCATCTTCAAAGATATGTGACCCAGACCCAAAAACTTCAAAAGATACATTGTGTCTAACACAACAATAGAGCTGTCAATCACTCCTGGGGAGATATCTTTTTCTGCAGAGCTGAGGTGGATTTATTCTACATTTTTTTTCATCAGGACTTGCTGAGCCACTCGAAAATAATAATTTCTTTCCACTTATTTTTTGGTGTGTTGTGGGCTAAGTCAGATAAAATCATTTTATTAAGTTTTAAAAGAGCTGAATTTTTTTGTTGGATGTTTAGACAAATAAAACCTTGGGCACCTGATCCTTCATCTTACGTATTATGAGGAATGTCTACTTTTGCTGCTTGCTCTGTCTGTTTAGGCTTTTGTCTGTTCACAAAAACGGATAAAGCCGGAATTAATGGAATTCAATATGATGCATGTATCTGCAGAGAAATGCCAGAAATTTTAACATTTTTTATTCCGGTGAGATTAGGCTACACAAAAAACACACATGCAGCACCGAAGCAGGGACGCATCTCACTTGGTGCTGTAAAGGGTTGTGATTGGACAGTCACCATGTGAGCAGTGCATCTGTGCTTAAGTTGAGCGGGCGGCAGCACTAAGGCTATTAAACAACCCACTGTCAGCAAGTCCCTACACGTGATTTTTTTTGGGGTGCCATTTTAGCTTCTAAGATGTTCTACATTTGATCTAGATTAGAATTAGTAAAACATTAATTAATTAACACTGCCATCCACCATGTACTTTGGGGAATGTTTGTCGAGCGTCCTCACGTCAAACGCCTTGTTCTTTCTTGGGACCTTGGTAACGTCTTGCGCATTCTCACCGGTCCTCCCTTCGAACCACTGTCGGATGCATCTGATTTCCATCTTAGAATTAAGCTGGCATTCTTCCTGGTGGTCGTTACCTCCAGACACGGCAGTGAACTGCATGCCCTGTCAACTGCTGAAGGTCACATACGCTGGGAGCAGCAGAGTTCGTCTTATCCCAGCCATCAAATTCCCAAAAGAACCAGACGCCTGTCTTCTGGCCTCCAGACATTTTCGTCCCTAATATAACCTCTCTTTCAGCAGATAGCTCCGACAAGAAGTGGTGTCCGGTTCGTACCTTCAAATGGTATCTCGTGAGGACCAAGCCTCGCTGTGAGAATGGTTCCAGACTTTTCATCACAACCACAAAACCCTTTCATCCAGCAGCAAAAGACCCATAGCTCATTGGACGGTCTTGGCCATTGTCTTTGCAAGTCAAGACAGGCCGACTCGACATGACGAGACGACTCGATCTCACATCAGAGCCCATGATGTTCTGGCCGCCTCTGCGTCCTGGTTGTTCTTCAGAGGTGTCTCCTTGGCAGACATTTGCCAAGTGGCTTGTTGGAAATCTCTTTCCACCTTCACCGAGAGCTACCTCAAGGATGTCCGGCAAAGTGAGATGACTCACGGTGCAGCAACCCTACCGCTCAGCGATTGGGACAGCATCCAGCGCTGTCCCTCACCGAACAAAGAAATGCTCATCGTAGATGCTATTCCTTTGTTGTAGAATAGTGAGTGTTCGCTTGAGTAGCACCTGCCTATATATGCCTGCATATGTAGGCTGGACAGGGGTATGTGAATGCAGGAGACTCCTCCCCCACATTAGTGTGGGTTGGGTCTCCTAGTGATACTTACCCCTGTCCAGCTGTTCACGCCTGTCCTTCCCCACTTTGGCTCTGGGGAACTTCTCCGTTTCAAAAAGAAGGACCAACATGGTGGCGGAACCGCATTGCATTGTGGTGGGTCAGGGGGCAGCATGCATAATCAAGTCTTTTCAGCGAACTGTAATAGGCACATGGGAAGTTTGCATATATAGGCTGGACAAGGCCAAGTAGCATTAGGAGACCCGACCCACACTAATGTGGGAGAAGAAACTTATCAACCGTAGTGCGCCCTCTAGTCCCTTGATGCATAGTAGAATGGGCCCCCATGTTCGTCCTTCTTTTCCTTAGGGTGATTCTAAACGGACGTATCTTTTTTACTTTTTCGAGTTAATCGAGGTTCCGTTTCGTTTCCAAACCTTTGTGATAATCTGATCAAACCGTAACGCATTGTAATAAATGCACATTCTATAGTTCCCGAGTTAATATGTGTATTTTCTTGTTTTGGTGGTATTTTTCTCTTCTCATGTGTGCGCATTTTATAGATTGTTGACTCTACGCTATTATACCCCTAAGCGATACATAGGGTCAACGGGGCTGCCCTAGGATTGTTGGGGGTTCCGTGAGGCAGTGCAAATGATCAATACCGTGGTTCCCCTCTTTCCTTGGTATGTATGTAGGGTCAATAAGCTGACCCTGGGTTTGTTTGGGTTTGGGAAGAAGTGCGAAACGTTTCGAATTCCATGACCCTACATTCCCCTATAGACCGACAGGAATTGGTCTGTGGAGGATCGATTGGCATCTTGCTAAACTTGTGATTCCACGGCTAATCCCTGCTGGTAATACCATCTTGGTTCAGTTCAGGGTTAGCCCACGCCACACTTCAAGGGTCTGAGCTGCAGTGTTTGCGATATCTGAAGGCTCAGGTCCCAAAAGTAACACCGAAGTACAGCAGTCAACGATAGTGCAGAGTGGCGCTGCACTCAGGGTGGAAATTTTCCCTGCTAGCTAGGTCTGGGCGCAACACCACTGTGTACCAGTTCCCAAGCATTACGGACAGGTGACAACTTCTTGTCAAAATGTACCGTGGGCAATGCCTGACACTGGCTTGGCTTACAAGACTATGCGCCGGAGCGACCTTATGCCGCCAGTGCTATCTACACTGGCCACATCACTCCTGGTGCCACTGTCTTCAGACGCCCTTTCAACTGGGACAACAGGCCGTGACAAAGGTGTTGACTCTTCACGGAACATCGCAGAGACAATACCAGACCATGCGGGCTTACCACCACTTGCGCCCGGAACAGAGCCCACCGGCCTCATGCGCCGTTGGGGCTTTCGATCTCTGTACGTCACCCTGTCTTCCGGCTACCTTCCTGGCCTTTCTGGGAAGACTGCTTCTACCTCTGCAGTTCACCAGCCCCCTCCTGCTGTATCTTAACTACAGTCTGGGCAAGCCTCAGATGCCGCAGCTCAGCTCGTCGGCCCTGTGCTGCCATGGACGCAGTGTCTGCAGAAAGGCCTGATGCTCTGAACGATCGTTGGACAACGTCCAACACATCCAGTGAAGATCGTTCGGCACTGGATGGAGGATTCCTGACCTGGGTTGACGAAGAATATCCTCCCTCTGGGTCAGGGGCCAGCATGCATAATCAAGTCTTTTCAGCAAATTGCAATAGGCACATGGGAAATTTGCTTATGTAGGCTGGATAGGGGTATGTATGATAGGGGTACGTGGGAGACTTAGCGAATTGAATCAGACGCAAAGGAATTTGCATATTTAGCGACTGTTTGGGGTTATGTTTCTCTATGTCGCTTGATCTGCCGTGGCTAATGCTGAAGTCGGTGGAACAGAAGTCATAATGTACGTGAAGACAGTACTAAGAATTTCCGGGAATATTCTGGCCTGTATTTCTGCAAAACACATTTCTTTTCTTTACTGGTGTTGCTCATTTTGAAATCTCTGAGAAACTCAGCTTTCAATTAATGAAATTCAGCTAACAGTATTCCAGAAAATGCATGCATGTGGCAAAACAACCTAACGTCCTTCCATGAGCGA